AAGTATTAGCCCAAGAGACAGAAAGGGCCACAAAAACCAGAGACTTCATCAGCCTGAGACCAGAAGAACTAGATGGTGCCCGGCTACCACCAATGACCGCCCTATCAGGGAACACAACAGAGAGTCCCTGACGGAGCAGGATAAAGGGGGCGCAGAACTCAAATTCTAGTAAAAAGACCAGACTTACAATGGTCTGACTGAGACTGGAGGGACCCCGGAAGACATGGCCCCCAGACTCTGTTAGCCCAAAACTAAAACCATGCCTGAGGCCAACTCTTCAGACAAAGATTAGACTGGACTATGAGACATAAAATGATACTCGTGAAGAGTGTGCTTCTTAGCTCAAGAAGATACATGAGACTAACGGGTAGCTCCTGTCCGAGGCGAGATGAGAAGGCAGAAAGGGTCAGGAGTTTGTTGAATGGACATGGGAAATCCGGGGTGAAAAGGAGGAGTGTGCTGTCACAGTACAGGGAGAACAACTAGGGTCACATAACAATGTATGTATAAAGTTTTGTATGAGACTAACTAACCTGAATTGTAAACTTTCACTTAAAGCACAATTAAAAAACAAAAGACAAAAAACCCTCAGAGCCCCTACAGGTGACAACCCTGACCCCTCAGAGTCTCTGAGGTGACAATCTTCACCCTTCAGAACCAATGTGGTGATGACCTTCACCCCTCAGAGCCCCTGTGGGTGACAACCTTCACCCCTCAGAGCCCCTGTGGTGATGACAACCTTCACCCCTCAGAGCCCCTGTGGTGACAACTTTCACCCCTCAGAGCCCCTGTGGTGATGCTCTTCACTCCTCAGAGCCCCTGAGATGATAATCTTCACCCCTTAGAGCCCGATGACCACTTTCACCATTCAGAGCCCCTGCAGTAAAGCCTTTCACCCATCAGAGGCCCTGCAGTGATGACCTTCACCCTTCAGAGCCCCTGAGGGTGACAACTTTTACCCCTCAGAGCCCCTGATATGACAATCTTCATCCCTCAGAGCCCTGTGGTGATGACCTTCACTCCTCAGAGCCCTTGAGATGACAACCTTCACCCCTCAGAGCCCCTGCAGTGACAACCTTCACTCCTCGGAGCCCCTGTGGTGACAACCTTCACCCCTCAGAGCCCCTGTGGTGATGACAACCTTCACCCCTCAGAGCCCTTGAGATGACAACCTTCACCCCTCAGAGGCCCTGTGGTGACGACCTTCACTCCTCAGAGCCTGAGGGTGACAAGCTTCACCCCTCAGAGCCCGAGGGTGACAAATTTTACCCCCTCAGAGCCCCTGCAGTGACAACCTTCACCCCTCAGAGCCCCTGTGTTGACAACCTTCACCCCTCAGAGCCCCTGCGTTGACAACCTTCACCCCTCAGAGCCCCTGCAGTGACAACCCTTACCCCTACCTGTGTAAATCTGCTCCCTCAGTCATACCTCAGACCATGTCACTTCTTAGCTCCATCCCTGGGACTCTACACCCTCCCAGACCTACTGTTGAGTTTCCACCCTGCTGGCTGGTTGCTCTGGACTCCTTCACTCTCCAACTTCAGCCTCACAGCCTCTCTTTCTCTAGGTCTAGTCCCAGTGGAACCCCACTTCAACCACTCTCTTACCAGCCCCTCAATACCTTTTTCTCCTTGTCATTCTGCATCCAACCTGCTCATCCCCAAACTTGTGCCCACCCAACTGCTTTCTTCTCACCTACACTAGCTCCTGGTCTGACTGGAGAAAAATCACTCCATGGCGTGCTATCTAAAGAGCTCTCAGCCTAATTTCAACCTGCCATAGCACCATTATCACACACACTGGACTGAGGAGAACAGCGGCGTCACCTGGACTTGTGGATCTAACAGACCAGGGTTTACTATTAGAGGACCCGAGAAACCTGGCTCAGAGTTATACAGGACTCAAAGAGTAAGACCATTCCTCCCTAGCAGGGAACAGGTGACAGATGGATATTTACTATCCTGCCCTAAGGAAAGTCACTCTATTTTTAAATCTGCATTAGGAGAGATTTCCAGACGCTGATATTCTTGGCTAACAGAACTTGGAAGAAACCCAACTCTTTGTTTCTCATAAATCTGAGAATGACAGTTTCTCCTTGACTGACTAAACTGTGCCCGTCAGGCTTGCTGTCTCTCTGGACATTCATGAGGCACCTTCCTGGGACAGCCCTGCAGTCAGAGAAGACTTCTGCCAGGATGGAGGTGCTGCCCTGGGGAGTACCTGGTCTTTCAGCAACAGGCTTCTCACAGGGTTGGTTCACTGACATCAGAAACTATAACGCCAGTCTACACAGGCAGGCTTAGGCTTGTTTATTGTAGCTCATTTTTTTTAAAAAGAAAATATCTTTACTAAAACAACTCAGCATAAATATTAAGAAAAACACTAGCGGTAAAGTCAAGAAAGTAACACTGAAAATGCTCTAAAACAAGACGTAAGAAGTGACAATGATAACCCCACTGAACTATATGCCAGAAGCTGTGCTAGGTACACTGATTTCTCTCTAGTCCTCACAATCGCCCTGCGAGATGGGCATCACACCAGACTAGGAAAACAGGTACAGAAGGAAGGACTCTGCTGAGGTCAGACCATGGTGAGTGCTGGAACAAGGCTCAGAGACACACCCTGTCTGAAGCCACTGCAGCAAGCACTGCTGGGAAATGAAAGAAGCACAAGGAACCTGGTAACTCTTCCTACTCCAAGGGGCTTCACAGGCATAGCCAAGTACCAAACAGGTCTGACTCAACTCAGTGTCTAAGACAGGGCCACATCAGGCATGTTCCTGACAGTATTCTATAAGTAACAAACACGGTCACACCTTTCTTACTAATCCTGAGGTGTCATTATTCACAGAATTCCAGAGACAGAGGGGACGCTGACGGTTGTCCAGGCCTTATGCCTGATGAAGAATCCGAGGCACCACGTTAGGCGCCTTGTCTAAGGGAGGGTGGTGACTTTAACGCACCTGTTTACTATGCGTACTGTAAACACCTGTCCACTACAGGGATAACGTAATAAAAACCCATGACAGGCAAATATGCCAATTACAGCCAGACAGCAACAGACCACCTCAGAAGTCCCGCCTCTGCCTACCTCCTCTGGCCCAGCCTTCACTTCCCCCTCACTGTCTGCACGCCAATGACCTCTGGTCGGTCCCCTCTCCCACCTGGGTCCAGAGGGGAGGAAAGGGACAACCCTGAGCCAGAGAAGGTAAGTAACAGGCCAGCGTCTTCCCACGAGGCCCAAATGGGCCACATGGGTGGCAGGGAAAGGTCGGGGAGAGGGTCTGCTATGACACGCTAGGTTCTGTGCACGAGGCTGTTCTCACTTGCTCAGAGGGATAAGCAGAGGACTCCACAGAGCAAAAGGTAAACAGCCTGCCATCACATCACCTGCCTGCTCTGCTGGCTGGCTGGGCACCGTCCAACTCTCCCCTGGGGCGGGATCCCTGGGTGCCACATGTAACATCAAGCGGCCCAGGCATTCGGGGTCTGGCAGGGCCCCCAAATGGAGAGGGGCTGCACTGCCCACTCAGCTCTGAGCCAACCAGACAAGGTCAGCCCCACCACCCAGCTTCCCATCTGAGGTGTGAAGGCATTATGCACTCGGGCAGTCTGGGGACCCAAGGAACATAAGTGTAGGGTGGCCACCTCTCCCGCTATGCCTCGCCTGTCACCATAATGCATCTCACTAGTGTAGACCTGAGTTCTACTGCTGCTGCCCCTCTGCTCTGCCCCTCACTCATTCCTGGGACACGAGAAGCCCTGGCTCAGGCCTTTGCAGCAGCTTCTCCTGGCTGGGAACATCCTCTCTCAGAGGGGGCTGCTGCTCTGCCATCATCACTGGGTCTGTGCTTAAATATTACCTTAGATCTTAGAGAGATCTTCCCAGACACTTTAAGATGGCAGATGCTGCTGTGACAGAAATACCTCAAGTGGATGGCTTTAACAAACAACAGTCTAGTAGACTAGAAGTCCAAATTTAGGGTACCAGCTCTAGCGGAAGGCTTTCTCTCTCTGTCAGCTCTGGAGGAAGGTCCTTGTCATCAATCTTCCTCTAGTCCAGGAGCTTCTCAGCACAGGAACCCTGGGACCAAAGGACACACTCCGCTCCTGGTGCTACCTCCCTGGTGGCATGAGGTCCCCATGTCTTGCTGCTTGCTTCTCTCTTATATCTCAAAAGACACTGCCTTAAGATACAATATAATGTTGTAGATCTCATCAATATAACTGCCACTGCTAATCCACCTTATTAACATCACAGTGATAGGATTTACAACACATAGAAAAATGACATCAGATGACAAAATGGTGGACAACCATACAGTACTGGGAATCATGACCTAGTCAAGTGGACAGATATTTTGGGGGGACACAATTCAATCCACGAGAGGGAGAGATGGAAAGAGAGAGAGAGGGGAAGTCTAAGTCCAGTGAGGACCAGGCTTGGCTGGCCTTTCTATACAGCTGAGTCACTAGATGAACACTCAATAAAGACTTATCTAATGGATAAATGAACAAACGCACAAAAGGAAAAAAAGTCTCATTATGAAGTTTCTGTATTTGGGTTTTGCTTGGAAAGGCTTAGAATCCCAAAGGGGCCCTTTGCCAAGTCCTAATCCTTTACTTAGCTGCTTCACTTGGCTTGAATTTGTATAATAATCCACAAGCCAGGTCGGATGCTGTTTCTCATCTGCTTAAAACTTTCAACGGCTCTAATCCGTGCACATAAAGGGTAAGATTCCAACTCTGGTAACAGCAGGCGCGATCTCCTACCACCTACCCCACGTGCCCTGGCCACCCCCACAGGCTCCTGTCGAGGCTCCTGTGCCTCCCAATACGCCCCCTTCCAGCTGCGCCCATCAACCCTGCTCTCCTCTCCCAGACCACGAGCTGAAATTCTGCCGCGTGTGCCTGAGCACCTCTGTGAGCACACGCAGACTTCTGTGTACACGCCAGGCTCCGGCACACGCGGGCCGGGCAGGACTGCATGCTGACACACCTGCATCTTCAGTGACGTCACGGAGCTGGCCAAGTGGGCAGGGCATGCTCACGAGCACGCCTGGGTCCTATGGGTGTCAACTCTGACAAACTGCAGTGCATTCTGTGTGAAAAGCACCCTCAAAAGTACCTGCAAGGATCCCAGCCCCCGGCATGGGTAGACGCTCAGGGCCTGGCTGGGGTGAAGGGAGCACAGAACACAGAAAGCAGCGGGCACCGTCTGGTCGCCTGCTTCTACATACACAACCTGTCTCCAAACAGACGCTGGCAACTTTCATCAAATACAGGGACGGCAGCACTTCACACGGAAGGCACAGCCGGCAGTGCCGTGGCAGGGTCTGTGCCAGCTGTCACCGTCTTACCTGGCCCCGGGTACCTCCATGGCTGTCCTTGGCCCGGGCGGCCATACCCGGAACTCGGCTGCTGGGAGCCGGAGCCCTGTCTCGACCATCGCCCTGTGGAATACAATCAGCACATCAGCAGGTCACCAAACATCTTGCCTTGAGAGCCTATCAGGGCAGTAGGGGGACCGGCCCGGGCTCCCCGACCGTGCAGACAGGGCCGCCTGAGAGGGGGTCAGCAGTGGAGTTGGGGCTCCCCAACCACGCAGACAGGGCCACCTGAGAGGGGGTCAGCAGTGGAGTTGGGGCTCCCCACCAGTGCAGATAGGGATGCCTGAAAGGGGACTGGCAGTGGAGTTGGGGCTCCCCAACAATGCAGACAGGGCTGCCTGAGAGGGGATCAGTGGAGTTGGAGCTCCCCAACAACGCAGACAGGGCTGCCTGAGAGGGGATTGGCAGTGGAGTTGGGGCTCCCCGACCACGCAGACAGGGCTGCCTGAGAGGGAGTCAGCAGTGGAGTTGGGGCTCCCCACCAGTGCAGACAGGGATGCCTGAAAGGGGACTGGCAGTGGAGTTGGGGCTCCCCAACAACGCAGACAGGGCTGCCTGAGAGGGCATTGGCAGTGGAGCTGGGGCTCCCCAGCAATGCAGACAGGGCTGCCTGAGAGGGGATTGGCAGTGGAGTTAGGGCTCCCCAACAACACAGACGGGGCTGCCTGAGAGGGGACTGGCAGTGGAGTTAGGGCTCCCCAACAACACAGACGGGGCTGCCTGAGAGGGGATTGGCAGTGGAGTTGGGGCTCCCCAACAACGCAGACGGGGCTGCCTGGTCAGCCGTGGGGCCAGGCCTGCACTTGACGCTCAGGAGGCTGACGTGAGCAAGGAGGACAAGGTCTGACTGGTTCTGCCCACCGTCACTGGTCATGTGATCTCAACCCGGGAGCAGGAGGCAGAGCTGCCTGGCCCACCACGTGACAACTGGGCTCTGCCTGCCCCAGCCAGCAGGACCTTCTGGCCAGAAACGGTCACTGCTCCCCACTCAGGCCGTGGTGAGGGAGGGCAAATGAGCCACGGTATGCCTCCTTGGAGCGCAGGCCCAGCAACGTTCCCAGGTATACCATGACATCTGATGGACACCCATGTTCTCCCAAGAGCAGACGTCGGGGCCAGGCTGCACTCCAGGGCGTGCTGTACGCTGCCTCTGCGATCACTCTTGCTTTGGGGTCTCCAATCTTGACCGCAGTTGGTAGGAAACGGTAGAGGACGGAGAAAGGAGGGCAGGGAGGGAGCTGGTACCATTGGAAGAGAGCCTTCCCGCCCTTACCGCTCTCCCCCACTCAGGTAGCGTTCAGGGCGGCGCCGAGGACTGCTGACCTCACACGAAACGTGCAGTGCACCAGGCGCGTATGAAAACTCATTACAACTATGAAAAACTGGAAACGCCCACGGGCTCAGAGCGGGGGGTGGCGAAGCAGACAGAGCAGCCACGTCTGAGGGGCTGTCATTAACGTGATGACAACTGTGCTGTGAACTGCGCACGTGGAACCAGGAGACGGCAGGACACAGGCGGCCGCGCTGGGACAGGCACAGCACCCTGCAGACACACGGCCGTGCTGACACTCATCACCTCAGCGACAGAACCAAAGGTCGTTTACATCTTAAAGCTTTATGTCCTAAATTTCTCTAATTACTTTTATCCAACAAGCCGTCTTGTGCTCCGGCCCCGGGAGGAGGGTCGACTGAGACTGGACTCCTGGTCGGCTCACCAGCAAGCGGCTCTTCCTGCAAGTTTACACCACTGGACAGAACCTTCATGCTAAGTTCACCGTTTCTCCCACCTTCAGCGCCTCTTCCTGGCATCCCGGAGCGCCACGCCCACCCGTGATGACCCCTGACGCCGCACCCACCTGTGTGGTGGGAGCCCCAGCGCTGTCGGCTCTTGATGCGCCTGTTTTCCCTCAGGCAGGCCTTGACCACCACCGACTTGAGGCTGTGGAACCGCATCAGCAGCGACCTCTGCAAACAGATAACAGCATCAAGCTGTGCCACACTGAACGCAACCCAGACCCCAGGGGCAACACCAGGTGTGGGAGACCCTGACCACAGGATGGACCCCGTAGGCGGCGCCAGGCAGGGGAGACCCTGACTGCAGAGTGAGAGCAGCTCTCAGGAACAGGTTCCTGTCAGCATTATGACTTAAAAAGAGGTCCACAGAAAACTGAGCCCCCAGAAAAGCAGCACAGAATGAACAGTCACAGCCCCTGTCCTTTGCAGGCCAATCACTCCTGCACGAGAACCTCCAACTTCCACTGTGCCGTGTATCTGAAACGTCTTCTATCTCCGCCTTCATCAGGTGGGAACCGTGGTGGTGACCGGGCTGAGAACTCCTCCCCTCTGGCTCCTGTTCTCGCATCGACTGTTCCAGTCTATAGGCCCCAACTGCACTAATTGGAAAGTATGAGCCGATAATCGCCCTGTAGCTGGTCAGGACGAGATGTGACAGGAAGTGGAGACCCAGGCCTGTGGCTGAGCCTTCGTCACCCCACAGCTGCCCCTCACTACTCTGCTTTCTGTCTATATATGACTGTGGCTTCTTCTGAGTTCTGAACACTCTGACTCTTGACACGCAGGAGTTGGTGACAATGTGATGGGGCACACTACCAAGTGCCTTCCCCGACGTGTATGAATAGCACATGCCCTCTGCTAGGCTGTGGTGGGCTGGCTCCTTCCTGCGGACATGAGACATAGCCACAGGAGCTGGTTCAAGGTTCTGTTTGGACCTCTTCCTGGGATTGTGCAGTGAATGTCCTCATATAGCTAATCAGCAGCCAATGCCCCCTAAACTGGCCATCTTTAGGGAATATTTTCAAGCAGTATATTCAACTACTCATGTTCAGTCTGTTGTCTGTGGGTGCACCTCTGGAAGGAGCATTAGTTCTTAAAAGGGGAAAAGAATTTAAAAACTTGAGAAATTAGAGCTGTGTGAGGCTGGGTGGGAGGTGTGGGGTCTGCAGCCCTGTTGCAGGCTCACAGCAGAGGCCGCTGATATGCTCTGGCTTATGGCGCCCTTCACTAGACAGCAAAGGTTTACAAAGTACAGCCTAAGTCTTGGTGTCGTCTGTGTAGACGTCCAAGGCCTGGTAAACAGATGTGTCTGTCTACAGTGGCCACGAGGACAGGGCGTGGCTGGTGAGGGGCTGCACGGCGCCTGTGCTCTCGTGTGCACCCGAGCCATCGACTTCAAACCTGTGACCACGTCTGTGTCTGGCTGTTGTAACCACGTCTGGCCAGTGTGACTGTGTCTGGCTCTTGTGACCACGTGTGGCTGTGCCCAGCTGTTGTTGACTGTCCCCACTGTTATGACTGTGACCGTGTCTGATTGTTGCAACCGTGTGTGGTCATGTCTGACTGCTGCGAGTGTGTCTGGCGGTGTCTGACTGTTGCAACCACGTGTGGCCGTGTCCAACTGTTGCTACTGTGTCTGATTGTTGTGGCCATGCGTGGTCGTGTCCAGCTGTTGTGGCTGTGACTGTATATGATTGTTGCGCCCATGTGTGGCTGTGTCTGACCGTTGTGACTGTGTCTGACTGTTGTGACTGTGTGTGGTCGTGTCTGGCTGCTGCAGCTGTGTCTGACTGTGTCTGATTGTTGCGGCCATGTGTGGCCATGTCCAACTGTTGTGACTGTGTCTATCGCAACTGTGTCTGTCTGTGTCTGATCGTTGCAGCCGTGTGTGGCCGTGTCTGACTGTTGTGACTACACCTGACTGTCTGGCCATGTCTGTCTGACAGTATGTGGTGGCTGTGACAATGACTGTGTCTTCACCATGTCTGGTGGTGGTGATCGTGTCTGACTTGCCACACGCACGACACGGACTCACGTTCTGCTCCAGAAGCGCCTCCACGCTGTACCCTTTCTCAGACTGCAGGTACTTTTGATGAAAGAGCTTCCCATCAAAGATGTTCCAGGGCATGAAGTCACTCATGTCCAAAGGGAAACCACACGCACTGTTGACGAACACCAGTGTGGTGAGGCCACGGACGAAGAGGGAGCCCAGCTGCACAGCCCTGGGGTTGATGTGGTCAAGCTGTGGAAGCACACACACACAGACACAGGAGAGAGTCGTGAGCGTCAGGAAAATGCCTGAGATGACAATGACAGGCTCATGTGCTCGGAGTGGGCCACTGCATGTGGCTTGGCACGATGCCTGTCTTCATACCTCAGGATCAGCGATCAATGTCACTGAATTGTACATGGAGAAACTGTGGAATTGGTGTATGTTTTGCTGTGCATGTTCTCAACAACAATAAAATTTTAAAAAATCGGTGAGTCAGAGGAGGATGCAAGATGGGATGAGTAAGCAGAGGGACCCCCAAGGATTGAGTGGAAAATCCCAGATGTCTCGGCCCCAGGGCCCCACACTCGGCGTTCCCCTATGCGGTGCTTTGGGCAGACATAGCCCACCAGCAGAGCACTCCTCTGACACCTCAGCCTCTTGCTCCTATTCACACATGGCTGCTTGCTAAGGGGCTCAGCTGGCCGGCCTCACAGACACCTGGTCAGGACTCTGCCTGCCGGCTGCCCTGACTCAGCATGGACAATGAGCAGGCACCAGCGGGCGGCCACTGACCTCCCAAATAAGCCACATCACACCCGTGCAGTGCAATGTTGTGTGCAGTTTCGTGGTGCACAGAATTTTACTTTAGAATTTCATGGTTATTTTTATGCCATCTATCACTTTTTACACTAGCCATCTGTGAGTTTGTCCTACTGTGGTGGCTTCCATGTTGCTGTGACGCTGGAAGCTATGCCACTGGCATTTCAAATACCAGCAGGTTACTCATAGTGGAGAGGTTTCAGTGGAGTTTCCAGACTAAGACCTGGAAGAAAAGACTGGTGATCTATTTCTGAAAATCAGACAGTGTAAACCCTATGGATCACAACAGATCACTGCCCTACTTGCTTGCTTTGGACATGTCATCAGACGGGGTCAATCACTGGAGAAGGGTATCACGCTTGGTGAAGCAGAGGGCCAGCAAGGGCGCTGGAGATCCCTGGCGAGACAGCTTGACACATGAGCGGTGATGATGGAGGTGAACATGGTGGCAACTGTGAGTGATGGGGAACCAGGCAAGGTTTTGTTCTACTGCAGATAAAGTCGTCATGAGTCAAAGCCAACTCAATGGCAGCTATCTACCCAGCACTTTGTAAACTGACTACAGTTTGCTCCCAACACCCCACGGCGTGACTCACTTTGTTTGGTGCCTTTGCAGACACCGCTCCCTCTCCCAGATGTACCGATCCTCACCGCGCTCCCTGACCTATAAACGTGCTCACCCTCCAGTGTGACCCAGGCGTCGCCTCTCTTCTCCAGGACAAGCGTCCCCTGTGCTCCAGGGCCTGATGTTGCACATTATCTGCCGTACACTCTCCGCAGGAGCCGTGAGCTCTCTGAAGGCCACACCGACGTGTCTTCTCTGTACCCAGCACAAGTCTGCCACACAGCAGGCAACCAACCAAATTTCTCCACCTGCATGCACCTGCTGAGCTTACGCCAAAACGTGACAAGTACTCATACTTATTCTCTATCAGTGCTGCTGCCCAATAAATGAACGGGCAGGAGGGTCTTCACAACACACGCGCCAGCTCTGTCCTCCAGCACAACACTCACTGACGAGGACACAGTCACTGGGCACGCCTGCCGCTGACGTCTGTCCGTGAGCTCTCCCTGTGAGAGTCCCACCTGGGAGCTCGTGGTGATGAAGGGCAGGTTGCACCCACAGCCCAGAGAGAACGGAACACGGCTTTGCCGGGTGGGTCCTGCTGGCCCTGTGTGCGCTACCACAGGCGGGTCTGTGTGCACAGATGCCCTGGAGCACTTCTGCAATAACCACCAGACTGGAGCCACTGGGCCCTCACGGCAGCTCAGGCACCTCCATGTGCCCTTGTAGGAGCGCCCCGAATCGCAGCCCCTCAGCGTCTATGGTTCTGGGCATCTCACCTGTACGAGGGCCTGGTTTGTGAGCCACCCAATCCCGAGGCACCGTCGGGCTCTCCCACCTGTCTGATAAGATGCTGTGCAGGTGTGAAGGTGCAATGACAACCTTCAAGGGCCTCGGGTACAATGGGGGGACAGACAGAGGTGCACTAGCTCTGTTCTCTGAGAGCTCTGTCTGAGAGATCAAGACACCACAGGCTGCTGCAGGGAAGGGGAAAATCCCTCAGGGAGGCAACCATGACGCTAGCCTCTTACAGAAGCTTCACACCACCAGGAGCTATGTGCAGAGAGAGGAAAGATAAGTTATGTTCTACACTGGAAACCAGAAAGCCTGCTCTTGGGAAAAACCGCACCTAAAGACAGACAGTGCTCGTTCTCAGAGATTAGCACATGCTCTGAATGCAGTTACTTGTAAAACATTTTTCAGTGAAGGCAAAACCTCAGACTCTGCTGCCCAGTCGGAACTTGCCAGCCCCTATGGGATTGGTCCAGCAGGAGCGGCAACAGGAAGAAACAGAGCCTCATTGGCAAGGCTGGAACTGAGTCTGCTGGAAAACCCACTCCCACCCGGGGCCCAGCCGCATCGAGGGCCACCCACACTCCCTCTTCCCAGAGAGCAGCCTCTTCCAGCTCGCTCCCAAGCTAAAGGGAGCTACATGTCAAACTTTCACCTTGACTTACAAACAACTTTATGAGACACTGACTCTCCCTCTCATCTCTCCCCCCAGAGAAGCAAACACATCACCATGTCCAGAAAGGCAGACACACCTAACACGGAGAGGAGCCTGGAGGGCAGGGGGTTCTGCTCCGCTCAGCTTCAGGGGACGTGACCCAGGGTCTAAGACAGAACATCGATCCCAGGTGAGACTTCAGCAAACCAGAAACATTAACCACCTTTCCTGAATTTGTGGCTTTCTTTCCCCGACTCTAAACCAGTGTGATAAAGACAAACATGTCAGGGGTGGTGCTAGGGCTTCCGAGACCCTCAGCTCTTCATTGGTGACCTAGCCACTGCCGAAAGCAAGCAGCTCGTAGGCTTACAGCCAGGAGCAACAACAAGCCTAATGGTTCTTCTTTTGCTTCTTGAGCTCTGGGAGACAGAATATATTACTCTGAAAGCGTCACAGTCACAAAATTTTTATTTCCCAGAATGCTTGCCTCACGGCTTCATTAAATTACAATGTATGGTTTTAGGAGATAAATTATACTTCCCCTCAACCAGTCCGTTAAGGAAGGGCTCAGCCCACATTGGCTGAACAGCGCAGTGAAAACCAGGGCTTGTGAAAGGCCCAGTGACCGAGGCCAACCCCTAAATTACTCATCCAACAGAACCGCTCATCTAAGCTACCTGGGGCTGCATTAGAAATCTGGACCTCTTCCCCCAATTCCCCTTCCTTCTCCAAAATGCCTGGGGTTTCAGGACACCCTGAGAAGCAGAGGGCTGCACCCAGACCCGAGGTCAGGTCTCAGGGAGGCTCCGCAAACACAAGCAGCCTGTGTTTTGGAAACAGGGTTGAAGGCGCTTTGGATGAATGCCCAGGTGGGCTCTCCTCTGGGTGATGAACAGGAAGGACAAGAGGTACCCCCAGCTCCTGGCATCAAACTGGAAGAACCAGTTCCTAACGCCCCTAATGCCCACAGTCAATATTTAACAGTAAACAGCCCGGGGGTGGTGTTTATATGCTAAGGGCGGCTAGCTCACCCTGGTTTATTAGCACTTATGTAAAATGACACTTTAAGAAACAAACCTGGGTCAACCTAAACAAAGCCTCCAATGCCGCTCAGAAGGTACCTGTCCTCTAAGCAGGTGGAATCCAAACAGGGAGGGGACACTATAAATACTGACTGTTTATGGTCAACAAGACAACAAAACACACCGGGTCTTTGGCTGGAGAAGCCTGGTCTGGTCCTGAAGGCTCCACCCTGAGACTCATTATTTACGAGAAATCTCCTGATCCCAGGTATGCACACACTTAAACAGAACAGCCCTAAACGAAGCTTCTTCAACATCAGTGAGCAGGGGTTCTGCAGACACAGACCGTGGGAAACGGCCAGCCTTACACCGGTGAGGCAGGTGTGTTAACGACCGTCAGGAGCTGACCCAGCTTCACGGACACCAAGTGCCGTTCAATCCTCACCGAGCTGTTCACGGAGGTTAGAAATGACTCAAGAGGGTGGAGGCCACATAGCATCAGGCTGACCGTAGTTAACTGCGCTGTGTCCGCCTGAGACGGCACCTCTATGAGGGAGAGAGCCCCTCACCTATTCTCTTGATCACCTTACTCCATGGTTCTGACGTTCTTCGTTCCAGAAAGAAATCTTTATTTGCCTGACAGCCACACTTTCAATGCTCCCGGAGTGCTGTGACCCTGACAGGAGAACCCTGTGCCAGACCCAGAACCCAATTCGGAGCCCACGGTTCTTGAGGAGGATAGGGCCACGGGGTGCAGGCAGCTTTCCACGCTGATCTTGGATTTCAGCGTCGCGTAAGCCTGGGCTTGGGACAGATGGACGGGAAACACATGGCAGAGCAAACCCTCCATTTTAGATGACAGCGAGGGCCCTGGGGTAGAGGAGGGCACAGGGGCTCAGGGAGAAGCTGCAGCTGGGGAGGAGGTGCTGGCCAACAGGGAGAGCCACAGGGCGGCACCCAGCTTCGTTCCTGCCTCAGGCCCAGCTCTGGAGACCTGCCTCGCTGCCATCTCCCCAACCCACAGCCCACGCGGATGGACACGTGGTGGAAACACACCAGCAAGGGGTCTGGGTTGCCCAGCTGTACCTCCGGCAGCAGTGGTGCACAGGACCACTCTTCTCCTCTCGTGAGGCACCAGGGTCTCTGTCCCCTTCTCCCTGCATAGCCCCTTCTGGTCTCCTTCCTTCTGCTCCTGTCTTCACTCTCTGTACTCTCTCACTGCATCAGCCACTGCCCTCTGGTCTCTGTCCCAGACCTCTCTTGGGCTCACCCAACACCCCAGCACCCACCCGCCAGCCTCCACCTGCCCACAGCTCCAGAAAGAGACTGGACCCCTGCCAGCCCTCACCTGCCCACAGCTCCAGAAAGACACTGGACCCCCGCCAGCCCTCACCTG